GTGTGTGTGTATAGTGTGTGCATTGTGCATAATGAGCACAGTCTGTCTTGGTGAGAATATTTTTTTGTGGTTTTCTTTGTAACAATTTCCTGTTGAAAAATGCGTATCATACGCATTTCTGCATTATAATCAATCCTATCCAGGCGTAACTTGAGTTACGCCTGGATAAATACCTAGCTGTAACTAGAGGACATTTTGAAACGCCTATAAGGTATGCATTAACTAAAATCCCGAGTAGGCATAACATACAGAGGTTTGAAATGCGTAGCATTTTTGGCTAGAAATGCATATAAAACGCATTTTGAAATGCCCAAATTATTTGCTGGGTATGTAGGACTCTCCGTCTAGTCACTGTTGCGTATCTTAGAATGTTGGGAGTACTTAAATCTTAAAAGAAACATTTTGCCGCGCATTTTTTGGATAAAAAACTGCTGCCCATAATTGTTTAAATTTGAATAGATTATGTATTTCAGTCACATTTTTATTCCACCTTTTCTGTCTTGAATTTTAAACGCGTTGAAATTTTACCACTTATTTTAAACACAGCTGTAAACTAAAGAACAAGCCAAGAGAAAAAAGAAAGCATAAAAGATTCCGCAGAGAAAATGACAGTGAAAAGCATTTTATGGATGAGGTCAATGTCGCACGCATGAAAACATCCAGGAGACAATTGCTTGGATATAAATTTTGACAGAAATATTAATGCCTGCAAAATGCGAAGAAATGTAACAGGACTTGAAAATAAGGAATCACAGGAAAACCAATGTAATACACCCTCGAATATATTTGGAAGCAAGAACAGGTGATGAATTATGTATTGTTGTCTGAGACAGGATTGTTTTGTGTATCAACAGTAATGTTGAATTTCGCTTTGAATCCCTCTCGGACAGTATAGAATCACCGGACTGTATATAAAAAAGAAGGGGAATTCAAGGGGACCACCAAATTTTATTTTATTCCAGCATTGTATCCTGGCCCTCTTGGTAACATCTCGAGTACTGCCTGATTGCCAGACAAGATACCTCATCCACTTTCCGACAAAAATGCTGCGCATACGCCCGATTGAAAATCCGTGCAATAATAAAGGAATAGTTGTGGTTTTCGTAACGAACGCTGTGTCAGCGGAAGGGTGGGATGAAAACTGCACAAAGCATCAGGCCATGAAGCCCGCGGGCCACAATCTCCTGACCCGGGTGCGCTGTTGTCAGTGAGCCAGGGGGGACCCAGTTCAATGCCCAAATGAGTTTACAAGGTGAATCCGGACGGGAATGATCCCGACGCCGACGCTCCGGTGATGGGCCGGGGCATAAAAAAATGCTCCGGTGCGGCGGAATGCGCTCCGAGGGGCAATGACAATTGAAATTCTTTCGCCGCCGCTTGCCCGGGACGTTCCGCGTTGCCTTCCTACCTGTTCGCGTTTCGTTGGGCACCTGTTCCATTCAGCCTGGCCCGATGGGTTGTTGCTCAGCAAACTTCCGCGGCGTGAGGAAGAAAACGGGGCTCGGCGATCAAGCGAAACCGGACAATGGGAGGTGAGTGTGATCAAGGTACTGCAGTGCGTGATCAGTAATGTACACAGAGAGAAATGATGAATACAATTTGCGTGTATATAAACTTCATTTTGCATCGGCATTTCAATACAAATCAGACATTGCTCGGCCGTACGCACTTTTCACGACATAGTCTGTCTTCGACAAAATAAAAATGGAGAGAAAATATCAAATATCGTATATCACAGTCATGCGGGATGCATCAAAAACGTAAATTAAAATTTGTTGACCGAATCCACTTGCGCCCGCAGCAAAGTAGGTGTTCACGGGTTCCAGGTAAAAAAACGATTCGACGTAAATGACAACCAAGGAGCCCCTCGTTAGCTAGTGGTCAGAACACCTCAGTCATGGATTGGAGTGAAAACTTGAAAACTTGGGCCAAAAAGGAGATGCCAACACAATGTGAGAAGAAGCATATCCACGGAGATTCAGAGAAAGATTTCCCCATCCATTTCATGGTGCGCATTCCGGGCTTTTATCACTTGCATCGGCGTCGTCCGATACACTTTGTACCTGCCGAGAAAACAAGGGGACCAAAGGTTATTCAGGTCGACCAAATGGGTGTGTACCGAGCAAACTCACTGGCTGAAGCGGAGGACTGCGTGGGTTCGACAGGGGTGGCAATGGATTTGGATTCAGGGAAAAGGAGTTTCTTGTCAGGACTGGAAAGGCGGCGCTCGCAGACGCCATTTGGTCTTCCAACTCGCACTGGAGCTGACAGATGTAATCGATTACACAGTGGATCACCTCCAGCTTCGAGACTTTCTTGTCTTTAGGCATAAATGGGACAAGATCTTGGAGTTTTGCCAAATATGACTTGATTTCTGCCGAGTTGCCTCCAACATGGAGTTTACGCGATTTCGATTTCATGCCGGACTTTTTCCTGTGTTTCCACTGCTGAGAATCATCAACGGGTTTAACGCCGTCAGACACACCGGGGACTCTTCCCAAACCTGGCATTGGGCTTTTTTTCCTGCTGATTTATTTGTACAATCTGGAAAAAATTCGACGAAGTCATTATTTCTCATGCCACTACGAACAGAAGTCAAAGGTTGAAAGAGGATCCCCGAAACTGACACATTCAGCATTTCCACATCACGTCCAGGAAACGCAAGAAGATTTACGTTTCCTGGTTACTCCGCCGAACTTAATGCTTGAAAAAATGATCGATTATGGTGTGAATTGAACATCAGGTTTGTGTGTCTCATAACTGAAACATGATTAAATCTCAAGGCGCTTTTTCTGTATTATCGTTCTCTGCTGCAACCATGGTACGCATACCAATGGTGGTACGTGGGACCATTGCCAGATGGTATGCAGGCTCGTCCACGAAAAGTATGCCGAGAGTCGAATTTGGACTTTGATGTTGATTGAGTTTGAAAAAAAAAATTGAGGTAGGAACAGGATGAATGATTCGTTCAAAAAACGAAGTATTGAATGTTGAATATGAATTATTGTTAAAGAACAATACAGTACAGTACTAAGATCTCAAAGGTAACTATACCTAATAACATAATAACATACCTATGGGAAAATACAGTACTGTATAGTCTAATCGACCAGCACTTGAGACATGACATCTTGAGGGTGGTACAATAACTCACAAAATATTTCGGAAAAAACAAGAGTAATTCCATTACCATGCTGCTTCCAAAGCAAGAAACTATACGTACTGTACTACATTATTCGTAACACGGATTCGCCCATAAAAAAAGAATTTAAATGCAAAATTATCCACAAAATCTACAGCTAAACTACACACGTCCCAATGGATGCTTGTCAAAGCATGCGCATTGATTGCATCGCAGCGCAGATCTTCAATTTATCACTCCAAACACTTCATCCTAAGAAAGACTTTGTTTAAATTCAGCTCATGTACTTTACCAGAGCAGAATTGAGCATCTGGGAATGCTTATACTCCAACTTTGTGTGATTAATCGCTTCAGAGTGACTGTAATACGTTTGAAAACTGAGGCTGCAGCTCATCAGGCTGAGCGGTTCGATGGTGACCTGAATCTGTGTGGCAACTGTTGGGCCGGGTATCGCCAACAGCCTCAACAGGATTGGAATAAAAATGCTGTGGTCAGCTGTTAGGTGGCTGGGTCCTTCTTAATGGAGTCCCTTTCAACCTTTGTTTACTCAGGTACAAGAAAAGAGGGCGCAGATACAGACGCAGCAATCCCAAAGCCTAAAAAATTCTCAGAATCCAAAATTCCTAACACACAAAGCACAGACTCAAAATTACAGTCAAACAGTCACACTCCCAAATGGAGAACAGCAGCAGGTCATTCCTCCGGCAGGCAAGAGCTTCAAGTGAAGTCTTCCTGCCATTCACTTTTCTTTTCCTCTTCTTTCGTCTATAGGTTTGTCACCGGTTTGCTGCATTACAGTAAACTGACTGTGCAGCGGGATTTCCGCTGTGCACACGTCTGCAGCCAAGCGATTGGGTCATGCCCTGGTAAATTCCTTTGCCCATGTGGTGCCCTCTAGCATGACCCCATAGCAACATTAGCTTGCTCAACATTTAGTATCGGAAAACTGCTCATTATCGCCCAACAAGGAAAAATAGCCAAAACTGCAGCCTTTAGTCCATGAATAATCGTGAGGAACAAACTCAAGGCCGGACCTATGAAAGGGGAAGAATAAATGCACAGGCACCAACATCAACTCGCAGCCCTGTGCTTGCGAGGTAAATCGATGGTAAGCACACACATACGCATCAGTTTTTGGCTCTGCTGATGCAATGATATTGGCCGAATACAGAGGGACCTTTAGTGTAAAATACCGCGAATGAGGGTTTCCTGCACTGAAGGAAGAGCAGCGTGGGTCCAGCACTCCAGGTGAGCCGGGATTTGAGGCATGACTGACAGGCTAGCCGGACCAGGAGAGGGGATACGCTCGCAAGGCGGCCGGACGCAGAAGAACGGGACCGTGTTGCGATCAAGGAAAGCCAGCCGTTCCGTGGGGTGTCTTGCATGGGCTGTACCAAAGTAAAGCTCCGTGGGAATTCTCTCAGATTGAATGAATCCCTTCTCGAAAACGAAATGCTGTCAAGGTTGACCGCGCAATCGCTCTTAGAAATAAGAAACGGTTACTAGAAATCAATCCGAATTCTTCCTTGTTGAAGCTACTTTGACGTGCCCAGCGAATCCCTCAACCACAGGTTATGTCCAGAGGCTTAGATCAGCGAGGAAAGATCCGGTTAGATCAGGTATTCAAGAATCGTATGCAATATACTGTACAGTAATTCATTCTTCCCAGCACTCCTGCACATCATTCTCACCATAAAGTAACCCCTTGGCGTGAAAAACATTATTGGTGCAGATCATTCCATGTTGAATTCATTCAGGTCACACAAAAATATTTCAAGAATGGATTAATTACTTTATAATGGGACCCTATGGAAAATAGAGCTTCACATTATAGGTTGGTTCCCTGTACAGCCTTACCCCAGGAACGGATTGTGTCTGTGTAGTGATAGGGCCCATTGTATCGGGTTGAAAAATAATCTCACATGTTTCACGCAGCAAGTTTGGGGCTCATTTTACAAAATGAACGGGTGGAAATGTACAGCATTCTATCCGAATTGGATTACGAGGCCAAGTTGCATCCCGTGGAAATTAATTTCGAGTTCACATGAACAAATTTCAAAATCCTTCCAGCAAAGACACAAGAAGAAATTTAAAAAACATATCCCCAAATTGTGAACCATTTTCATCTGACCGCGATCAGTGAGATAGTCATCTGTTTTTCCTACAACACTTGGGCAAAGGTATCTTTCATTGTCCATTATTTCTGTCTTGATTAAGCAATATTTTTGAACAAGTAATGAATATTGAATTAGAAGTCAAACTGCAAAACGTGGTTTCCAATTTAATTATTTTTTCCCTATTACGTGGGTATTTTTCTGTATTACTGAGGGCTTTTGCATTTTTTAGCAACGCAGTACTGTATTATATTAGGTTGGTTCGGTGATGGGTGCTTCGATTGATGCCCAATTTGTTTTATTTATGCAGTTAGGAAGAGGATTTACAGTACAGTACTGAAAATATAAATAAAGATGAGGCATTGTCTGGTTCAACAGAGAAGTACTACAATACCATGATGAACTCATGACATATTTTAAATCTGTTCAATATATATGTTATTTTTCTGTTCAATATTTCAAATTTTATTACTGACATTGCGCTACAAAGCTTTTTTATTTTCTTTACGAATAACAGGAATTAAAGCAGTGATTCAAGCGTAAGCTCGCTTTTTTCATTGCATACATCTTTTTCAATTAGAGATGCCAGCATGTTCAGAGAGACGAGGGATATAACATGGTTTCCTCAAGAAATAGCGCATCGTCAAAAAACTACACAGGATGGATGGAAGTGCGGAATAATTTGCAGCCTTTCATAGCAGGAACTATAATCAGAACTCGCTGAACTCCAGCCTTCTTTAGTACAGTACTATACAGTATCTTGATCGACGAGGATAATGCATTCTTCTTGCGCCCCCACTTCGAGACTTTAAAAAATAGAAAAAGGAAAAGTGTGATATTCATGAGAAAAAGCTGTGATATCTGTCTAGAAGCTTGATAATCTCGGAATATTTTTAGAGTGAGGGAAATCAATCTAACTTTTAGTGATATCTGTGTTCATACTAGGGTGGAATTCACCAGAGATTCTTTTATTTTCTGAAAGAAGAGTTCATTCTCTAGCTTTGCGTTCCGTGGGATCGCAGTTAAGATCGTATGGTTGATACGAATCGAAGGCTTTCAGGAACGCGAAAATGTGATATTAGCTATTAATACTTAGTACTTGTTCGTACTGTCATCGGGACAGAAGGTCGGCCAGGAGAACTGGGCAAGAGGTTGTAGTCATGCCCACTTATACGTGGCTCGGGAATCGATTACGACAACTGGCATCACCTTGAATTACAGTCGAAGCGCGCCTCGCACATGCTGCGGCACACCGCGTGCACCTGATTTAAAAGTCACGGCTTCCAACAATCCAAACTGATCTTTCAGAGCCCAGATCCCGCCGAACATCTGTCACTCCGGTAGTCGGGATTTAAAAGACCGAGCACGCGATGCATCAAGAAACATGGGTGGAGTCAAGGATGACCGGGGAGAAGAGGCAGAACATGCGTTGTTTCATTGTGGCAACCCAGGGGCAACTTCACGTTCTCCGTGGCATGCATCAGTAAGTACAGCTTGTTCAGACGCCAGGTTTCTTCAAAAATTACCTCAGAGTGCGTGGGATCTTCTCTAAATTCTGGCGCTGCTTTTTCGATCTGCTGGATTAAGCCACTTTCGCGGCTTCCCAGTGTTTGTCTTCCGCCTCCAGGGTGTCAAATACCACCTGTGATATCGAAAGTTACTGTAGGTTATACCCATTTTACAATGTCTAGCTAAACAGCGCGTGCAGTATTGAACTTCGGATTCCGCTGCTTAATGCGACTGATTCACATTGTCCAAAAATTACGTAGAATTACTTCGGCAACATTCGAAGTATCATCAGACATGAACCATTGGTGGTGGTACACGAACCATGGGTGATGTGCAGGCACCCAAAAATGACGCGTAAAACTGTTTTACCACGAACAAATAAGATAAAATCGGATTTTATGGATAAAATAAAAATGAATCCCGACAGTCGAACCTGCGCGAAGCATACCAACTATCGTAAATGGTAGTTTATAGTTATACCCATCAGGTAATATGCTAAAAGCGCCATGTATTGAAAGTGGTACAATCCATGAACATATAACTATGTGCATAGAGCCTTGAAAGGAGTAGAAAGCGAACTGACAAATGCGATATGCAGTACTTGGATTCGATTCAGCCTTTGAATATTTTAGTCCACAGTATCTACAGGATACGGGAAGACATTTTGGAAAACTGCATTCAAGGTTGAAAAAGAATTTCTCGTGACTTCTTTTTCTTACGGGGCACACTCAAAAAGAAGCCAAGGTCGAATTGAACTTGGAAGTATAGCTTCAAATACCCGACTAATGGTACGTT